TGGAAGGCCAAACAAAGTAGTTTCGCTTTCACAACGAAACACACAGCGCCTTCACGACATAGTGGCGGTGGCAACAACAATACTTTTTTGTTGTTTTTGCCTTCTTTCTTTGCGTGAACATTTTGGCAGCATTATGCAAATCTTCCCGCATCGTGACGTAGACATGTGTACAGATCTTCTTTATGCACAAAGAGCTTGTAACACTCCAAAGAGAAAGGAAAAATTTAAATTGCATCATATGACCCCTTTAAGGATCGTGCAGCTGTTAGCTGAGGGCTTGACAATGGAACTGCTGGCGGGCTTGATCGGGAACTCAGGGGCGAGGATGAGGGCAGAGAACAGTCTTTTTCTCCTCATCCTCCTCCTTTGGCTAGGGGTAAATGGCACGGCCAGTGGGCTTGACAACGGGCTGGTTCTGGCTCGGGGCCGGACACTCTCCAGACACCGGAGGATCCCTTCCCTCCAGCTTATTCACTTGGTGTCTGGGAGGTCCACGGGGCAATGGTAGTTGACCCCGTGCCAAAACAGAGAGTTGATGGTGGCGTCATCTAATGCCGTCGCCGCGGTGAGCCTGCAGAACTCCCAGGCATACTCGACGAAGGGGAGATCCCTACGGGCTAGGGCAATGAAGCGTTTTCCATGCCGCGGGGAGAAACAAAGAGGAAAACAAAAGACTATTCAAAAAACGAAAACAAAACAGGGAGAAGGGGCGCCGCTTATTTTCTGTTTTGGTCCGGTATTCTGTCACGGTGTGCCTACTGTGAAGGAGCGAAGGGATGACGAGAAACACCTGGGAGCAATAAACATAATTGCACATGAGGGAAAACTGGGTCATGGAAAGCACGTGGGGCAGGAAAACACAAGACACGGAACACAGGACTGACAGTGAGAAGGGAACATGAGCAGGAAAGTACTATTATCTGGGACTGGAACTCATGCTGTCTGAGGTGCAACTGTGCCTCCATGTTGATGTTCTGGCCACATAGCTCTGACACAGGTTACGCTACACTCAGGATGAGAAAAATTTTAATAAAAAAGAGATCTCTTTAACACCCCAAATGTTTCTGCTAGACAGAAATGAGGTTATTTTAACATCAAATGGAGACTTTTGCTTGAGTCTCCTGCTTCTCAAACAAAAACTCTAACACTCTCACAGTGGTCTCCTTTAAAGTTTTGGAAGAGATCTCAACAACATCTGTGCTCAGATTTTTCTCCTAAACTAAAGACTCTGGGTCTCTCACATTTGTCTCCTTTAAAGCTTTAGAATGGATCTCATCATCATCACCCACTGTGCTTAGATTTTTCTTCCCTAAACTAAAGATTCCGATGGTCTCATATTTATCTCCTTTAAAGCTTTAGAAAATATCTCAACAACTTTACAAAGTGTGCACCAAGTCAATTAGTTGAAAGTCACTAAATAAAGTAAAAACTAAATCCATAAATTCAGAGTTTAGGCTTATATTAAGAGCGAAATTATGCAGAAATTAGTCTTTAGTTTAGGAGAAAAATCTGAGTATGTTGTTGAGAACTCTTCTAAACTATTGAGGAGACAAATGTGAGAGATCCAGAGTCTCTAGCTAAGGAAATCTGAACACAGTGTGTTGTGATGTTGAGACCTCTTCCAAAACTTTAAATGAGACCACTGTGAGAGTGTTAGAGTTTTTGTCTCAGGAGACATGTTTGAGTAGCAGGAGACTCTTAAAGTAACCTCATTTTTGTCTAGGAGAAAAATTAGATGTTAAAGAGATCTAACTTTTGATTTTTCTTTCCTCTTTGGTCAAACTGTCAGACAGGAAAAAAACAACTTACATTTTTATTCCTCTATAAAGAAAGAGATTACATTTAAAGGGTTGAAAATAGCACATTGCTGGATGGAACAGGCTGAAGTAATGAGAACATTTTTTTTTTTTACAGTGTTTGTATTTTTGTTTTCATACTATGAAGTGTTCAAATTCTCTCTCTCTCTCTAAGTGTGGAATCTGTAAGGGCCAGTTGGGTGACACCAGCACAGGAACAGATGTGAGGATCAGAAACGGTCTACTCAACTGCCATCAATGCTATATCCACTCCCGCTGTGAGTTACACACACTTGCCTCTGATATTTATTCAAATTAAGCAAATGAGAAAAAAACATATTCCTAAATATATTAGCAACACTGCACTGGAAGCAAAATAATTAATGTATATTGAATTCATAGTTCAGACCATTGTTAATATATCATTGACTTTTCATTTCTCTTGTCTTTTAGCTGCTGGTCAGCCCACAACCTTGTGAGCTCATTGATTTTGGGAGCAAAGAAATCTACCCATAATACTGTCACCCCCAGTCCACACAATGTTCGCATAAGTGAATGCATATGTGAATACAAGCACATTTAACATGAAACCACAGCAACGTCTTCAATTCGTGTTTTCTTTTCCAACACAAAAAAGCATGTGACTGTAGTGAAAACCAATTTTCTGACTCAACTGACTGTATAACTGATTAATAAAACTGTGTGTAAGCTAAAAAATAGTTTTTGAACAGTGCATACTCTTTGATGATAAATGGACAGTTTGAGCCATTTAGAGATAACAATAATTAAGAAGAATCTGAGCTGAATTTCTGGGTGGATATCTATATATATATATATATATATATATATATATGAAATTAAAGTTTCTCAATATTTTTTTTGCACCCTCAGATTCCAGATTTTCAAATAGTTGTATCTCGTCCAAATATTGTCCTATCCTAACAGCTTATTTATTCAGCTTTCTGATGATGTATAAATCTCAATTTTAAAAAAGTTAGCCTTATGACTGGTTTTGTAGTCCAGGGTCACACACACACACACACATATATGCAGCAGAATTTTTTTTGTAACCTTGGCCAGATCTGTGCCTTGCCACAATTCTGTCTCTGAGCTCTTCAGGCAGTTCCTTTGACCTCATGATTCTCATTTGCTCTGACATGCACTGTGAGCTGTAAGGTCTTATATAGACAGGTGTGTGGCTTTCCTAATCAAGTCCAATCAGTATAATCAAACACAGCTGGACTCAAATGAAGGTGTAGAACCATCTCAAGGATGATCAGAAGAAATGGACAGCACCTGAGTTAAATATATGAGTGTCACAGCAAAGGGTCTGAATACTTAGGACCATGTGATATTTCAGTTTTTCTTTTTTAATAAATCTGCAAAAATGTCAACAATTCTGTGTTTTTCTGTCAATATGGGGTGCTGTGTGTACATTAATGAGGAAAAAAAAATAACTTAAATGATTTTAGCAAATGGCTGCAATATAACAAAGAGTGAAAAATTGAAGGGGGTCTGAATACTTTCCGTACCCACTGTATATATATATATATGTGATTTTTTTGATGGCTTTTGAATAATTTTTCTTTTAGTGTTTTTTGAGTAGATTTAAACACCAAAATAGAAAACTATCAAGAGATTCCTGTCTGCAAGTCATGTTGTCTTTATTTTATTGAAACATAACATGTTAGCATTCGTAGAGCTTCAAGATAAAACGATCATCTTTAATTATGGGAATGCAGTTCCTCTAATACCCCTGATCATTGTATTTCCTATCTGGAGGAAAGTATGTATTTTTATACATAAAAAGTAAATTTGAGCTGATAAAAAACACAAGTGCATATAAAGTGATTGCTGATTAAGAAAACAACCACATTCATATAGCAGCTTTTTTTCATGCAAATCGCTGTCCTTCAGTTGTTTGAAGGTTTGGGAAGTTGTTGCACTATAGAAATGTGCCTTAGGAGAGATTCGACGTCTACATGAGAAACGTAAGAGTTTGGATCCAAATACTGGTTCTACACTCAGTTTAACCTTTTTCATAGCACATTGTAAATTATTTTTTTTCCTGGCAATTGCATTATGCAGAATTTAAATATACGTATAGCTCAAACTACAATACCTTCCTGAAAATAATTTTTTTCTAAAGCTGACTTTTGTTTTGGCTTTAAAGATACGTAAAACTGGTTTTGGAAAAACATACAAAAATTGTATATAACAGAAATATCTTGTTTTAGTTTCATTCTGAACATGATTGAATTTAACATGACAAATCAATACACACGGTGATTTAAAATGTTCATGAACTGCCCATCATAACATACTCACTGGCTAAATTTAACACCTTTTTTTTTTTTTGCAAATGTTAGCATCTTTGAATTATGTACAGAACAGAAGAGCATATTAAGTTTTTTTTTTTTTTAAATGAAAAGCAATTTGACCAAGTTGGCTATTTAATCTTCTGTCACAATTGATTTATTTAGCCACTTTCTGTGCTTATAGGGTCTGGTCATGTATTTTATGTTTAATTCATCATAACTTTAGGTTGACACAGGGCCAAGGCATTTGCCAGGCAAGTTATGTTGTTTAGGAGGGGAAAAAGTTACCTTGGAAAATATATATATTAAATCTAAGGTATATTTATTGTTTTATTCAAATCTACACTATCCAAAAATAGATTAATTTGATGTTCAAATGCAATGGCTTTACAGTATACTGTATGTTTATAAATAAAATGCTGAAAAATCTAATCTAGTCTATATTTCTTTGTTTCACATGCATAAAATGTTTTGAATCAGAATGAAAATGGAAAAATATATTAAATATATTAAAATAATTGTATAATGCACAATACTGTCAACAATTTGGGAACATTACAATTTGTATTTACTTTTTTTTTAATTAAGTTTCTTATGCTCACCAAGGCTGCATTTATTTTATTAACAGCATTTATTATTATAAGCATTTATTATTAACAGTAATGTTGTGAAATATCATTACAATCTGAAATAACTATTTTCTATTTGAATGTATTTTAAAATGTAATTTATTTCTGTGATGGCAAAGCTTAATTTTCAGACTCTTTTTTTAACATTGTAAATGTTTTTACTTTCACTTTGATCAATTTAATGCATATTTGCTAATTAAAACTGTTTTTTTTTTTCTCAACATGGATAATAATAAATGTTTTTGAGCACCAAATCAGCATATTATAATTATTTCTGAAGGATCATGTGACACTGAAGACTGGAGTAATGATGCTGAAAATGTAACTTTGCATCAAAGGAATAAATTGCATTTTAAAATACATTGCAATAGAAAACAGTTATTTTAAATTGTAATAATATTTCACAATATTCCAGAACTTTGTAAATATATACAGTGAGGACCAACATGCTGCTTCAAATATGCTGTATTGTGACCCCTTTAAAAAGAATTAAAAATAAGTGCTGTTTAGTAATCAATTTCCCCATACATGGTTCCCAAGACACAAACAGCTGATCGCTCTCTCTGAACTCTGGTTTTTTTCTGTGTAAATACGTAAAGAGCACACTGGGCATAATGCATTTTAACTTTTGCTGTTCTGCTGAGGGAAAAGGTGAAGGATAAAAGGCTGTTAACTCAAGAGGAACACTATAATGAACAACTTCAAGCATAAATGCAGGCAGTATATGAAGGAGAATGCAAGGCAAAGGGCACTGAGCATTGTCCTGGGATGTGAACACGTCCACTGTTGCTCTGTTGCATATGCTCCAAATCTGTTCAAACATTTCTGTGTTCAGTTTCCCCGTATCATGATCCCCTGTATGTGCCCTGTACATTGCTCCACGAAATCAGTTTGTGTGCCAACGTGTGCAAGTGGAGTGAGTTGTGACCTCCCAGTCAGTTAATGAAAGTCACAACTATAGTGTTATCCATTCTCATGAAGACATAATGCCTTTTCAGAAATGGAAGAAAATGCTAAGTTCCACTGTGGCCGGACCTCCTTGCAAAGTGTCTTGTGTTTGCCTCACAACCCCTTATTCAGTTCAGGGCATTGAGGGCGTTGTGTTTGTTTGGAACCAGAACCAGATGAGTCCTCATCACAATGTGACTTTGCTGCAGCCTGGAATTGAACTGCTGGTTTCGTCTGGCCAGAGGAGAACTGGCCACCCGACTGAGCCTGTTTTCTCCCAAGGTTTTTTCTCCATTCTGTCACAGATGGAGTTTTGGTTCCTTGCTGCTGTCGCCTCTGGCTTGCTTAGTTGGGGACACTTACAACTCAGTGACATCGTCGACTTGATTGCACAGATACTATTTAAACTGAACTGAGCTGGATGATCACATCACTGAATTCAATGAAGAACTGCCTTTAACTGAAAATTTAATGTTTACTATTGTCGTTTTGCATTATTGACACACTATTTTCCTATTTAATACTGTAAAGTTGCTTAGGGATAGAGCTGGGGCTGGTCTCGATATGTAAAGTAGCCATGACAGATGCTTCCAACTTGGGTAAGGGTTCCTTGTGTGATGGCAGACTCCTGGTCGAATCTAGAGCAGTGCTGGCATATTAACTGCCTAGAGAAGATGGCAGTTTTTCTGGCACTCAAAACCTTCCTGCCAGATCTGAGAGGCCACCACATCCTTCATCCTGTTCGGTTTGGACAACATGACAATGGTAGCCTACATAAACCACCAAGGGGGACTCAGGGGATGCCCTACTCCTGTGGGAGTCTGTGCAGAGCATGCATAAAGCTGAATCTTGGTTCTTCAGAAGTGTAATGGCTGGACCAATCAGGCACATTATTATTTCTTATATTTAGCAAACAATCCTCAACACTATTAACAAGCAAACCATCCCCCTGAACTACAGACATCCCACAAAGACAGAACAGAATCCTGGTTACTATGGCAGCATGGCCATAGACTCTTTACAAACCAAAGAAATTTGGAGAGAGCATGACTCTCACTTAATTCACTTTGAAACAGACACATAAGTTCCATAATAAAGGACTTCTTTCCATTAATTCATAGACAAACCTTTCTATGAAGGAACAAGCATATTCCCAGGACACTGTGTATATTACTAACAGGGATGCACATAAGTTGTGGGCAGGTGCGCATGCGCAGCCAAAATAAGAAATGTGCTGGGTAAAACAGTTCAGACCATGCATTTGCGTACTGACATAGTTGACAGCTGTTAATGCACAATCACTATTTTAGATTGACCAACTGTGATACTGTATAAGAGGTCCATCCAAACTGAAAGCATAGATCTAGGCTATGCGCTGCCAATTTCAGAGCAAAATGAGAAATTGACACTTCATTCACACTGACACGCTTCAAAACCGATGGGCCCGAGTCAACATGCTGTTCAAGGGGCACAGAAACTGTAGCGGCGCCCCTGATAAAGCCCAAAGTATACTTCGGCCATCGATGATCCACGCACTAGCCTTGTGATGCAATTTTCATCGTCAGGATGGTCCGTGTACATCAGCGCAGGTGCGAGGTGAATGTTGAGACAGAGCGAGTCAAGAAAGTGGTACTGCGCATGTGTAGAGCTCATCCATCTACACTCACCTGCAGTTGAGTATGCTTTGAAAGCTATGTGGATGCGGCTGTGCGCAATACGGAACAGAACACGGAAAGTGAAGTATACCCAGGACTTATGCTGCATTCATGCCATATTGTAATTACTGTAATTTTGAAATGACAACATGTGACATTGTACTTGGAGCTGTTTTCACCCTTGGATTTGGACACAGAACTATTGCACTATCAATGCCTAAACATAGCGCCTAATG